CTTTCTTTCTTTCTTTCTTTCTTTCTTTCTTTCTTTCTTTCTTTCTTTCTTTCTTTCTTTAATGAAACATGGGTCCTCTTATGTTCTTGGTGTGGAAACTTTAATGAGAAGAACCAAACTAAAAACCCCTCACAGCATCATCCAGCCCCTGACCTGGCTCTGCTTACCCTGACAGCTCACTGTCGATGACCATCTTCTGCAGGCCCGTGGAAATACTGCTGGCCGCCTCTGCAGGGGGAGAGTGCACCGGCTCTGAAGACTGACCAGGTGTCATGTGGACACTGGACGGGTTGGACAGGGCTGTGTTGACCTCCCTCAGGATCCGGGGCAGGGGGCCCAGCTTCGAGGCTGCGTTCTGCAGAGACAAACACGATGAAGGGTCTCTGAGGCGACACTACGTTCTGTTCAGTTTAACTTGATTGATGAGTTCAGGGATTTCCCCACACCATGTCAACTCATTCTCACTTCCGACTCGTCACATACTGACACCAGGTCAGGTAAAGTCTGCGTCCAGTTTTGGATGTGTCAGGTTTCCCACTCGCATCAGTTATTAACGAGAAGAGACGGAGGAGGAGGAGCGTGTTGTCATGTTTTTGAAAAGAGTAGGAAATGTGCGACAACTAACCATCCCAGACCCTAAATTTAACTTCTATTAGCCTTAAGCTGAAAACATACTCCCTGCGAAATGCCGACGTCAGCACGGGTTGTCACAGTTTAATGACGAAAATTACGTCACCGGGCTTCTCAGCGTCGTGTCGACAGCCCCTTTTGGCACAACCCGCCGGCAGAACATTTGACCCCCCTCCCATGTCGACGGTAATGTGTGATTGGTCTGAAGTTAATTGTGGGTGTGTTTGTTTGTGCTGCGCTCGGGGGAAAAATAAAAAAGAACGACTCGCTCCCAGACTAGAAAGCAGAGTCTTATAAGATAGTCAAACCATGAAAAACTTATGGCTTGTTTGTTTGTGTTGAAAGCGCTGCTGCACTCAGAAAAAAAAGAGGGGAAAACAATCCCGACTCGCTCCCAGAGCCGACACCAGGAAGCAGAGTTTTATAAAGATAGTCAAACCRTGAAAAACTCATGAATGGAGATAAAACAGACGTTGTGCACGGAGGAATCTGACTGATAAAAACTGTGGAGCTAAACCAGAACAGAAGTGGACAAATACGTCGGGTGAGTGACTTTTTTTCTGCATTATCGGCTGTTGCGGGGGAACTCCATGCAGTGACGTATGTTTCAGCTGGAGGGGGGTTTCCTGAGCTCGGCGCAGGGACTATGAAAGGTCCGTGCCAAACAACCACGTGACCGCGTGTCGACCTGTCGGTGTCGGAGCGAGTATGTTTCAGGCTTTAGACATCCTAACCCTGACCTCAGTACCTAAAATAAAAGGGGCAATATCATGTAAAATAAATTTTTGAGTTTTATATCATGTTATAATGTTAAACTCTCATAAAAACATGCCCAAAGCCTTACTTTGACTCATTCACGCATGTTTGCGAAATCCTGCAACGTATTTAGGAAGCCATGCTGAGGAGCAAAATGACAGGTGGGGACCAGGAACAACCCTGGGACGTGTCTTTAAGCCACACTTCCTCATGGCAGAGCGCCCTCCCCCTCACCCCCTCTCCCCACACACCCCGCCCATGACTCCTGCAGGCTCTCTCGGGTGAAACTGAAAGTGAAACTTAAACTGTCTGCTGAGCTCCTACCTCTCACTCAGTGAAGCTCTTTTCAGATTAAAAATATCTTTTGAGGAAATATATTTTCAGATGTCAAGTAAACTGCATCATAGCGCACACGCGACCCCCCCATCCCCGCAGTGAAATGGACGGGACAGACGCAAGAGGTTCTTAAAGAGACAGAGGCCAATTTCAAGGTGTTAAGAAGAGGAAGTGATGAGAAGATAAGTTTATTTTCTATTTAACATAAAAACAGCATTTTAATAACAACTAAAGGTGACATATATACTTTATTATAGTATAGTATTTAAATATATGCCTGAGAAACACATAATATTGCCCCTTTAATCATTAACCCTGATCCCTCAAATTAACCACAACCCTATGTGGCGCAACCTGGAAAAGACGCAAGCATCAATAAGTGACGTGAGGGGGTACCCGACACGTCCAAAACTGAACGCAGATGGTACCTGACCAAGCATCAATATGGTGATGAGTTGGGAGTGAGAACGTGTTGACCATGTGCCCTCTGCAACAGGACGTCTGTGGGACTTAAGTCTCAGTAAAACTGGGATTTATTTAAAAAAAGGAATCTAAAATTTTCAATGAAAAACCTCTGAATGATCCACTGCTAATATGTCTGAAGAGTGATTATTCAGGACTCTCCTCCTGTGTACTCCTTATTAATAAAACGATGAATTATTGATGAATGCAGGGTAAACATCCTGCCTCAGTCTAAGCAGGTTTTACTCCCTGAGGAAATCTTTTGGATCTCATCTTTACTGAGAAACATCTACATGCAGGGTGAGAATAAATCTGTATCGTTCAGGCTGACTGATTGAAAACTGAGATGAATTTGTTCCATAAAAATTTGGAAAATGATAATAAAAAAAAAAAAAAAAAAACTTTTCTCGTGACATTTCCTTAGTTTTTCCTTCTTCAGTACCTGGTCCATCTGAGAGACCACCTCAGAGAGAAGGGAGTGCAGCGTGGAGAGCTCCCTGCCCAGGTCGATGTAACCCTCAAAGCCCGCCGTGTTGGAGATGGTCTCCGGGTTGGAGATTTCCAGCAGGAAACGCTGCATGTTGGTCCACTCGTGCTCCAGGAACTGGTTCATGAAAGACATGTACTCCTCCTTGTTCCCAAACCTGGAAGCAAACAGAAAAGTCAGAACACACCTGAACCTCCTGAACCGAGACGTGGTGTAAGACGATGGCTGAGCAGGAACCGATGCTCACTTGGTGAAGTTGGCCAAGTTCTGTGTGACTTTAGCGATGAGCGTGAGCGTGCGCGCCGTGCGATCGTCGGGGTACTCCTGCATCAAATGAAAGAGGGACGGCGACATGATGGCGGGACACAGGAAGCGCAGGAACAAGGAGGCGCTGATCAACCGCTCACTGATGTCCGGTCGACCCCGGTTACTGCACTCCTGTCTCCACGATGCAAAGACCTCCTTCAATTCTCGTGGAAACACACTGGAACAGGAAAAGACGGGGGCTTTAACTTCACTTCACCGCAGAATTTTTTCCGTCTTACATTCAGGCAAAAAGTGTTTTTGATCTTGTTTCGAGACCTATATAATAACCAAAAGCAGAATATGTTACATTATTTAATGTGTTGGCCTCAAAATTATTTCAAGATGTCTTACCAAGTGTGATTATCTTTCTGCACTGGCAGATTATTTCACTTAATTTGAGAAGATTCAGACTTTAATTTCAATATAACAAATCATCTCACCTTTTTAAACAAACCCCTTGATATTGTCACTACCTGCAAATACTGTATCTTGGAATTACTTTGGATTCTCATTTGACTTATCGTGATCAGGTACAAGTCTTAACCACTAAGTTGAAACAGAAATTATACGTTTATTCAAAAATTAGATCCAATCTGACATCTTCTGCTTCAAATATCTATCGTCATGCCATTATACTCTCAACCATGTCGTCTGCCATCTGCTGGACACTTTCTGTTGTGCTCATACAGTATTTAGA